CCCCAAAACCCCAAAACCCCTTAGTGCAAATTTCAATTGATTTAAACAGTTTAAAAATAGCAAATACTATAAAATATATAAATTTTAATGTCTGGATTTTTGCTTTAAACATTATTTATTGTTTTTATTCATGGTATAGGAAAGATCAACTGCTAGTATTGCTTTAACACATTATTTCCTAAGATAATAGGTGGGACTATGGATAAAACATCTTTTACTTCGATTGCTTATGATTATCCTTCTAAAAGCATAGTAGTTGGTGGCTATACTTGGGATAGTACAGTTTCAACCTTTGCATCATCATCTGATTAACATGCTATCATAGCACTAATTGATAACAATAATATTTTCAAATGGAAAAAAAGAGTATCAGGCTATAAAAATATAGAAGCATTGACATTTGGTAATGATAATAATCAAATTTATGCTTTGATGAAATCTGATAATGACTAAAAGATTATGATAGTAAAACGGTATGATGGAGCTTTTATCACAATGATGGTTATAGTTTCGTATGATATTATGGAATAATCATTGCAAATCGTAAGTGATGAGCAGGGCTATATATATTGTACATACTAAAATAGCTAAGGGAATTTCAGAATTCTAAAATTAAAATACAATGGCAGCACTGGCACTGCTGAGGGCATTAGAATTAAGAATGATTAAGAAAATTCAAATGGATATGCTTTATAATATTTTGGCAAATAGAGTATGAAATAAATACTAGTTGGAGGATATTTGAAAAAGTAAAATGTGAGCAGACCCTTTTTGTTTAATTTTGACTCAGATACAAATTTTAAAGTAAACTTTGGTCAAATGCTTTCTTAATCTGACAAAAGTCATTGCTTTATCAGAGATATTGATTTAGAATCATCTTCTACCTAGACTACGGTTCATACATGCAGCCAATTTTAAACCCCAAAGCATATCATATACTCAAGACTAAAGTACAATAATACCTTTATTGTAAATGGATAGGACCATTTCACCTACTAAGATAATGATAAATAAATTGAGTGCTGAGGTATATATAGCTATACTTAAAACCTGGTATATGGTTATATATTCTATCCTATGAGTCACTAATCTTTTTATTTGAAGATGAATTTATGGTTATATATTCTATCCTATGAGTCACTAATCTTTTTATTTGAAGATGAATTTTACATAAGAGATTTTAATTTTCATTTTGCAAGAATTATCTCCCATTTCTTCTGGATAGAATACTACTAAGATCAACTGTAATTTACACACCAACGACTTCTTTTTATATTGCAGATGTCAAGAAAATTGGTTCTTATACTTATTCGAAATATGTTGGGGCAGTAATGTCCTTACACCCTGGTTAAAGTTGCATTCAATTTTCCTATAGGGTTAATTAGACAGAAAGTAGTAAAATGCAAAACATATAATTCTCCAGTATTAATTTGGATTACCTTGAGTTAGCCGATGTTAATGTATAATAAAGCATAATCTCACTGATTGATATCTCAGATAACAATTAAACTAATTGGTGTACTTAAAATTACCTTTCAATAAAGTCACCTGGAAATTTGACAATTGAGTATGATTTATACACAGATAAAGTGGAATTTGATCTTCAAATTTTTAGAACCTTCCCTATTTGTAATGATGCAATATTAAAAAAATAATTCAAATTAATATATATGAAGAATGAAACTGATTAAAATGGTCAACTAATACCTTTAAATTCTGGGTTACCATCGTTTATGTAATTAAATACAACTAGCAATCAGTTATATGTAAATACTAATTCACTAAAAGATGTCAATGAGTACACAATAAAAATCTACATAGAGCTATAATAAAACATCTCTATAAATCACATAATAGACTATATTTCTCACTTCTCAAGAACTAACTCCCATAACAGGTGGATCGAATATACTAAGGGCATCTGTATTTTATAATTCAGCTACTTCTTTTTATATAGCAGATGTCTAGAAAATTAGTTCTAATACTTATTTGAAATAAGTTGGGGCAGTAATGTCCTATTACACTGGTTAAAGTTGCATTTAAATATCCTATAAGATTAATTACACAGAAACTAGTAAAATGCAAAACATATAGTTCTCTAATATAAGTTTGAATTACCTAGAGTTATCCATTGTTGATGCGCAAAAAAGTGTAATCTAAATTTCACTGATTGATATCTTGGATAACAATTAAACTGATTGGTGTACTTAAAATTACCTCACAATAAAGTCACCTGGAAATTTGACAATTGAGTATGATTTATACACAGGTGAAGATTAAAAAAATTTAGAAATATTTAAAACCAACCCATATTGTACTGATGCAAATTTTACAAAACAATTTAAATTAAGATATATGAAGAATGAAACTGATTAATTTGGATAACTAATACCTTTAAATTCTGAGTTACCATCGTTTATGAAATTAAATACAACTAGCAATAAGTTAACTCTAAATACTAATTCACAAAATGATGTCAATGAGTACACAATAAGAATCTATTTAGAGCTAGCATAGAATATCTCTATAAAAGAAGAAGCATTTATATTCGTTAAAATAAAAAACCCTTGTTTGATTGCATAGATTTAAAACCAATAACCAGATGATACTGTATTCTATAAAAGCCAGAATGGTACACAAACTTATAAATTCAAAGAACTAACCTTCACTAATGATAAATGTGAGCAAGTCATTAATTTGATTGAATCAGGACTTTAGTATAGCTATAATGAGACTTTTATTACATATAATAATAGCTTAGACCCTTATCAGATTTAAATTGATACAAATTCTTTTACCTATAGCTTGAATTATAGTTTATCTCTAATTGCTTATTACAAAGACGGAGATAAATAGAAAATTAATGTAGAAATAAAATTAAAAATAGTCATTTATGAGTGCACGGAGGCAACATTCATTCCAAATACATATAATAAAGTTATCTACAGGTTATATGATACCTCTAAAGTGATAAAATTGGGAAAATGGAATTAAGTATTTTCCTACTAGAATTGCGGGATTTTCTCTTATTCAGTAAAACTATCAAATAATTCAGTTTTACCTCAATTTATTGTATTTAATGAGCAGAATAATTCAATTACAGTTGAAACTAATGATATATATGCTGAGGGATATTACGAAATCTCTGTCATAGGGAAACTTGATAATTATACTGATGTTTCAAACAAGTCAGACTTTATAATTGAGGTATAATGCCTAGTAATAGATCTACAATAGCCTACAATATCTGAATAAATTTACCCTGTGGGTTCTCAGAGTTTAATCATTTAGTTTGGCATTTTTAACAAAACACCAAACTGCTCACATTTAGTAGAATACACTTACAGTGTTTATGATTATTCTGGTTTATTAAGCTTTGTTGATTTTGATAGCAGGGAAAGATAATTTACGATACAAACTGAAAATGATAATTTTGCTTGAAACTATATGATTTTATTGAATGCCAAGGTATTAACACCTCTTCATTATCTTTACAATTACTATGAGAATATAAATTTTAATCTTAACATAGTATCTAAGAAATATTAAAATTCAAACCTTGGTCCACCAAGATTTGTGGAGTACTTAAAAACCATTTATATGGTTGTGAAAACAGAATTTATTTATGAAATACCTTAAGTTAATGACCCTGATGGAGATGATTATTAAATAAATGTTGAACTATAAGCAGCATCTCCGTTTGCAACATTTTAAAATTCTTTCATAAAATTTAATCCTCTTGCAAAATAAAACGGTACTTATTACATTAAGATAAATCTTGAAGATAACAACAAAAACAAATTAAGCACCAAATATTACCTAGAGGTAATAGTACTAACAGAAGATTAAGCAAGCAATGGGACTTATGGATTTTTAAATGTTAGGTAAAAAGTCATTAAAACAGGATTTTCTCCTTCTCTTATCCCTATTATATATGATATCAATAGGAATGGTCTCATAAAGATTAGATTTACAGAGAAGATTTTAATTAATTAGAAATAAGATTTATCAGAGTTCGATAGCGAGGTATTAAATATAAGAATTCTTCAGTCAAGATACTCAGATGCTGAAGATTTAGGATATTCATGGAATGTATCTTATTTTAATAGTACATAGATGTGGATTTAATTAAATTACTCATATCCAGAGAGAATATCTCTAAAGGTATTTTCATTTTAAATGATCTAATAGGGAAATGACATGATATAAATTATATTTTTGTAAAATGGAAGATTCTTAGATGAGAAGAATCTTATGCCTATTTCCAATCAGTACACTTTATTAAAAACACTGCCTCAGTACTATTATGGTATGTAAGGATACTTTAATTTATTTTTCAAGTAAACTCTGAGTTAACTTATCTTCTGGAAACAGCTTCTTCTTCATTAAAGACAATAATGATTAGCAATTTCGCTCTGAACATTATAATGTAAATGAATTCAGTAAATCAATAACTTATTAGGTCAGTATCTCTTTAACAATTGTGGGGAATGATAAATGTTATTTAAATCATAGCTCATCTCCCTTTATTCAATATAAACTTTCCAGAGAATGCTAAGTTACTCTACTCCTTAATAATATCAATTTCTTAATTTGATATTTTACCCTCAAGTTAATTTGACTCTCAAATATTTTAGTTTGATCAAGAAGATCCTATAAATAAAAGATTTTCTGATATGGATATCTTTTGATTAATGCTTTTGTATTATTATTACAAATCCTTATATTGATAAGTTATGAAAATGAAAATGTTATTTAAAATTTAGGTAGTCTATTTTACTTCATGATTGCTTTTGTTTTTATAATATTTTTCTTGATGGCAATAAAGTATTTGGGTAGGAAATACACTAAGTTTATGAAAATATATGAATTCTTTAATAGACTTATATTCTATAACATGATAATTAGATTTATTCTAGAAGGTTACTTAGAGTTTGTTCTAAATTCACTTATCAACTTGTATACTGTAAGTGTCTTTACAAATGATTAATTCGGATTTAGATTAATGTTACTAATGGTAGTAATACATTAGCTACAGTTCTTTCGATTGCTCTAATGTTAATTGGAGTAGGATTACCTTTCTTTATAATTGGATTCTTAGACATAAACTATAAAAACCTAGAAATAAAGTAGTTTTAAGAAAGGTTTGGATCACTCTATGAGTATTTGAAAATAAACAAAAAGATTAATCTTCTATACAATGCATTCTTTGTAATCCGAAGATTGATTTTTGCATTTTCATGCGTTTTTATGATGAATTACCCTTACTTTTAAATCCTTTTGCTATTTTACCAGAGTTTATTCTTAATTATATTCATTGGAATAGTCTAACCTTTCTAAAGTAAATACTAAAATAGACTAGAGTATTTTAATGAGTTATGTATTTTACTAACAGGATATCATTTATTGGGATTTACAGATTTTGTAGATGAAAAAGATTTATAAACAACATTAGGAATTTCTATCATAGCAATAACTTCATTCAATATTACAGTTAACATGGCTTTTATGCTTATTCAATCACTTCTAAATATTTGCCAAGAAATTAAAAAATTTTGTAGCAAATTAGAACCTCCTGATTATAAACTAAATAATTAAGATAATATCAAGCTAAACAATAAGAATGATAAGAAAATCTTTCCAAAAGAATTAAATTAAAAGCATTATAAAAAATAAATATCAAACAGCTATTCAAAAGAAGATCCACTTGAAATAACCTAAGATAACTTGATTAAAAGCAAAAGTAAATCAAGGAGATGGAGTATTTTAAAGAGAAAAAGAGCCTTATCGCAAAACAAAAATGTTAAAGATGGAAATTTAAGAATCCAATAATCATCCTCACCCAAAAAAGGCCCTCTTAAAATAAATAAAACTCTCACTAAATAGTAATAATTGTCATAATCATTGAATTCTAATACTCAAACGATTATAGGAAAATATGATAGAAAAGATAAAAATGATTCTAACTTAAACTTTTAGATGAACTTAAGTGGAGAAAATGAACCGTAAATTAAATTGCAAAATTT